GTGTATATAATAATCCGGCCACTCGGTGTATATAATAATCCGGCCACTCGGTGTATATAATAATCCGGCCACTCGGTGTATCTAATAATCCGGCCACTCGGTGTATATAATAATCCGCCCACTCGGTGTATATAATAATCCGGCCACTCGGTGTATCTAATAATCCGCCCACTCGGTGTATATAATAATCCGGCCACTCCGTGTATACGGGGAATATATAGCGTGAGGATCCTCACTGTAAAAAGGTTCCCAGCCTCCACCCAGTCATGTGACTCCTCTTTCCGTCCACAGGGTAAGCTCCGCCTCCTGGTACTTCCTCAACGTCTTTGGCTTAAGAAGCATCTACTCGCTGATCCTTGGGCAGGATAACGGTGAGAAAAGCTACCTGTCTCCCGACTGCCCCTCCCCTTTACCTGTCTCCCGACTGCCCCTCCCCTTTACCTGTCTCCCGACTGCCCCTCCCCTTTACCTGTCTCCCGACTGCCCCTCCCCTTTACCTGTCTCCCGACTGCCCCTCCCCTTTACCTGTCTCCCGACTGCCCCTCCCCTTTACCTGTCTCCCGACTGCCCCTCCCCTTTACCTGTCTCCCGACTGCCCCTCCCCTTTACCTGTCTCCCGACTGCCCCTCCCCTTCACCCATTTTAGGAAGTCAGCAATGGCGGCCTCCCTTTAATAATTTGTGTCTGCGATGTCACAGCTGCTGACCAATCACGCGTCATGCAGGAGCAGATGACCGGCGCTGCCATGGCGATGCCGGCCGATACCAACAAAGCTTTTAAGGTAAAATCACAACACTCCCCATCATCCACCTCACCCCGTATACTACACTCCCCATCATCCACCTCACCCCGTATACTCTACACCCCATCATCCACCTCACCCCGTATACTACACTCCCCAACCTCACCCCATATACTACACTCCCCATCATCCACCTCACCCCGTATACTACACTCCCCATCATCCACCTCACCGCGTATACTCCACTCCCCATCATCCACCTCACCC